CACTATTTTGAAGCTTTATATTGCTATGAATGGTTTCTCACGATCTTCTCTGTTTTGGTATATAGTAATATAGGCATCCTTGTTCCTTTGAGCTACACATTCAAATTGCGTCTCAGACATCAAGCCTCATTCAAACCACTTGGAGTTTCAAAGTGCGATGTTTTTCGCTTTGACATATTAATATTCAAGAACACTGGGTCTAATTATTGAGCTATAGTATTAATTATTAAAACACGCCTAGATATGGATTATGGACTAAAGGTTGCATTCACAACATTTGGTCGTCGTTATATCACGAAAATATTAATTTTTATATTTTTAAGAGAAAAATGTCAATTTGGTCGTATTATCACGAAAAAGTTAATTAGGTGCTCATAAAGCCTATGTTGTAAAAACCGGACCGATGAGCGACCCGGTCAAGTGACTGGGTCATGGGTCAACTCGGACCCGGTGGGTCAACCTGGTCAACGTCGGAAAACTGGTCAACGATTATATGTCTATATAATACACCCTCCGTAGGGGTGGACCGAACCGGGCCGGTTTGGCCCGGACCTGGTATTAACCCGGGCCGGTTCCGGGCCCAACAATCGGCAAAAAAAGCCCGCCCGGGCCCGGCCCGGAACCGGACCGGCCCGGAACCGGACCGGCCCGGGTCCATCCCTAACCCTCCGCCCCCCTAATTTTGTCCCGTTTTACCTTTTTCGTCCGTCCCATTAAGTTTGTCTTATATAATATTTGGTAACATTTAGGTGGTTACCATTCATTCTTACTTTATTTACACTTTATCAATTCAATACCAACCACAAAATTCCATCTTTTCTTAAAATTTGTGCCACACTCCTTTGTCCCAAACATAGTGGGACGAGGTAGTAATAGTAAACATATAATTATATACAAAATTATAATAAAGAGTAGTTATTAATCATAATAATCAACTAACAATAATACTTATTAGGCATTTAATACACTCACAATATTTCAAAGTATAATTTTGATCCTAGAAAAATATATAATGATATTTTTATTTGTATTATACATTTATATTATAATTTGGCATGATTTTCATTCTTAAATAAATATATAAATATATTACATAGGTTTTCTTTTTTAGGGTATTGAAATTGCAATTTTATTGGTTTAAAAAATGCATAAAAATTAAAAAGAAATTACTTGTTTTTTTGGAAAAGCACCCAAAACTGGGTTTTCCCGGTTTTTCGGGTTTCTTGGGTCCGGGTCCGAGCTGGGTTTTCCCGGGTCAGCCGGGGTTTTCCGGTTTTTGACCATTTCCGGATTTTGAACAAACCGAACCGGTTTTTTGTCCGGGTCACCGGGTTCCGGGTCGACCCGGCCGGGTCGGGTCGGTTTATTAAAGATAGCAAAAGGCAATCATATCTCCGAAGTTTAAAAATGTTCAATCGAGTCCATTGGTTACTGCCACGTCACCATATCACTTGTTGATGTGGCACACATGTGGCAACCTAGTCAGCAACGTCTTTGCCGGTGCGGTGCACACGTGGAAGCCCAGTCAGACACTTATCGATGATGTGGCACACATGTTGACTGCCATGTGAGCGCCAAATCAGCGGGTGACCTGCTCACATGGCAAGTAACCTGCTAATTGACTCAATTTTTTTCAAAGTTCGGGATTTGATTGATTTTTTTAAAGTATGAGAACCTAATTAACTTTTTCGTGATAGTACGAGGACCAAATTCACAGTTTTCCCAATTTTTAATGTAGTATGTTATTTTTCATCTGAATTTTAAATTTCTATTTTTTCAATTTTCATTATCCTAACATTTTCTAATATTTGGTTATACTTTAATTATTTTCTAATTATTTTACATTTTATAGATATTAGAAAAGTTATAAATTTTATTACATTTTTTACCTTTCATAGAATTTTACATTTTTAATTTTGCAACTTTATACTATCCTCCGTTTTTTAATAGCAACATGTTGAATTTTACACTACGCACATTCTCTACTTTGACTACATTTTATTCTATTGTTTTATGAATTTTTTTTTTAAATATTGTTCTATTCATCTCATTACATATTTTCAAAATCTGATTTTTAATTTTTTTATTAATAGAGAATAAGATATATTTATGATCAAATTAAAGGTGTATGTTGGCAAATGTGCAAAGTTGATCATTGCAGCTAAAAATGAACAGAGAAAGTATATTTTATTTTAAAAGTTATGAGTGAAGTCAAACCAACAAAAGTATGATCATTTTCTAATAATTTTTATGATCAAAATTTTCTCGCCATGAGAATATAATTCAGGATACCTAATGTCAAAAGGTTTTAGAAGTTACCATTGACTACTAATACCCATATACATGGAATGTTTAGATTCCTTAGCTTGTATACCGGATCTAAGCATTCCATGTATATGCCTCACTATTTGTTTGCATGAAACTTTAGTAATGATGACAAAAACAACTTGAAAGTCTTTTCAATTGACATAAAAGTATGTGATCAAATTTACTTGTTATAAATAAGAGATCAAATAAAATACCTCGTTACTTAAAAAGACCATCACAATATTGATATATAAATAATAAAGCTTAACCCTTTCTCGAAATTCATTCGTCTCATGGTCTTTCTAATCTTTAACTCGAACCTTAAACACAAATCACTAAGTGTAATATACTAGATTAATTTAAAAAGAATTAATGGTAATATTCATATAAATAAGATACACTTGTTTTAAAGAGCTCATCTACTAAGTACTTCACAATTAAGCGTGTTTGTGTGATAGTAGTCTTAGGGAAAATTATTAAAGAAGACATCATTAATTTAGTGCTAAAATACCCAATGTTGCACTAGGGTATCTTTTCCTACTCATTATATACAAAGTATTACTCCTATTTAGAGAAATTAAAATTGGGAAAATCGCACTTTTAGTCTCTGAAATAGTCACCATATTGGAATGTTTGACTCGTATTTCTAAGATTGTAAATGTCACCTCTGAGTTATCCAAATTGCTGTAAATGTGGTCCTTTGAGGGGCGAAATGTATTTCTCGCCCATTTTGTACATTCACCGCTCAAATGACCACATTTACACCAATTTGGACAATTGAGCGGTGACATTTACAAACCCAGAAATACGAGTCTGACTTTTCAATATGGTGACTACTTCAGGGACTAAAAACGCGTTTTCCCCATTAAAATATGGCTTTTTTATTTTTCGCTTTGCTTATATTTCACTTTTATTTAAGACAATTCCTATGCGATAATCCTTCCGCTATATTTTCTTTAAGATTTTGTCTAGTGTGAAATACGAGAATGCATAAGATTCCACATACATATGTGCATAAGTTTTTTTTTTTTTTTTTGCTTTTTAGATAAAAAAAATCAAGGATAAGGGGAATAGCCTCAGATAGTCGATCACTCGTCATATAATTGGACTACTTTGGTTATCCACCATATTTTTATCCGTCCCATAAAATTTATTCCACATATACCATATTTATATATACTTCTAGTCCATTTTTACTTTATTTATACTTTATTAAATCAATATATCAATTACACAACTCTGTTTTTTAGTCTTTTGTACCAATTTTTATCGCTATAATTACTCCATCTTACTTTTAAACGTTTATCTATTCAATTGATGGTGAGTGACATACGACGTAAAAAGTAAATTATAGTGGTCGACAAGAACTTCTTACCGCTATGATTTTGTGGTGGAAATAATGAAGTGTGAAATACCACATTGGATCAGATTTCACATAACTTGTCCTAGCTAATTAATAAACGTACATCTAATAGACTTGAATGTGCTCAAAAGAGCGAAAAGGTCATACACAGTTGGAAAAATTGGATACAAAATAAATAGATTTATGTTCTAGACATGAAAAATAAGAAAAAAGTGCAAAAAATCAAAAGTAAAACAAATGAATTATATATAAAAATTTACATAAAATAATGAAAGAAAAACAAATAAAAAGTGTATATATATATAGATATATATTCTTGGACGTGTTTGCATTTAGTCTTAATAATAATCGATGCTAAAAGAAACATTACAAAATTTATTTGTTAATTTTCCTTGCTCCGGCCCCAATATGTCAACTTCAAGTCATGTACTTCTATATCGATCGGAGAAGTGAGTTTTTTCTTCTTCTTTTTTTTTTCTTTTTTTTTTCTTTTTTTTTGCTATCAGAGCCCACTCGCGGTATCTTTCATATATAATGTGACGTTATTATAAATGTTGGTTTGAAGTTTGCATATATAATTGAATTCATTTGCATCATATATGTGAACACCCAAAACTTTTGAGACAAAATGGAAATAGATTTGTTTAGAATTAGTGTAATAATTTATTTTTATTTGTGAAGTATTTCTTACTTTTTTTTATAAAACATTTCCTAATTTAGCTCTATATTAATTGAAAGAAGTGTAGAGTTTTTACCTCAAACAATACCATGCATTATATTCTTCAAAATCTTTAATTATTGTAAAGTAATTTGGAACACTCACCATGCATTTGCTAATTCCGCAAGTGCCTGATGGGTATTAATTAGTGTGCAAACTAGCACTATGCAAGTAATATCTTGTAGTTTAACTTCTTCACAATTGTTTTCAAGTCAAAGATAAGCAAGGTCCCAAACATATCTTAAAAATCAAGTAAAATAACTCTGGTTAGATGAAGTTATATATGATGATATTTTCAATCCTATATAAAAAATAGATATATCTAAAAATTAAAAAATCATTCTCGATGACTGTGAATCCTTTACCGACAAATTTATCCAAATAATTAAAAACAAAACAACTACTCAACTAGGATTATCCATCTTTTCTTAAATGTGGTACTCCAACTTTTAATTGCTGTAGAGTTAAAGACATCAATATTATCCTAGAAGCTCAATACTAAAATCTTATATACTCCGTACTAATTAAATACATTACATATAATTATCTAGTGTGAAATAGTTCAATATATATGTAGTCCATGCTTACTTATAGAAGTTCTAAAACAAAAAATGATTGCAAAGGTATTAATAAAAACTTAAAAGAACATTATTTCAATTACATTATTTAAGTGAATTTCTATGGTACACATGAAAATAAAGTGAATGTCAATGGTACCTGTTAAAATTCACTGAGTCTCTAAAATATTTACTAGCTACTGCAAACTATGGAGTATATATCAACAAAAGATAAAATTCTGTCTAAACATTCTTGAGCCAAACAACAAAATATAATCACAAGAACATAGCTTTCCTTGGGAAGATGCATCCATATATGATCATCATCAGCAAATCACCTAAAAGAGTTTCTCTAGCTGGTTGTTGATGTTGTTGTTAGTGTCATTGTTAAACAGTGAATCCAAAGTAGTGCTGAGGAAGTCATCTTCCCAGAACCCCATATTACTGAAGATGTAATCACATTGCCAGTCAATGGCAGGCAGGAAGTCAACGTCATCAAGAATGCTGTTAATGTTGTTGTTACTAACGTTTGATGAAAGAAAACCATTGGAGGAAGATGAAGAACAAGAGGTTGAAGAGAGAGGGGCGACCAGGATTTCATGGGGTTGAAGGAGAGGCACTTCGTCAATGGAGAACCCCTCTTTGACTTCCATTTGGTCAACTGTGACCGTTGACTGTTCATCCTTACAGAAGCTTTGTTCCTTTTCTGAGACTACCTCAAAAATTGAGGGACCTTTTGGGGATTCTGGCAGCTTTGTTTTGTGATCTTCATCTTCTTCATCATCACCCCCACTAGTAGCAGAAAGTGGCTGGTGGGTCACTGGATCTACCCCCATTTTCCTCAACTTTTTCTTGATGTGTGTGTTCCAGTGGTTCTTGATTTCATTGTCTGTCCTTCCAGGCAAATGGGAGGCAATCTTGGACCATCTGCAATTCATATAAATAATGAGCAAGCAAAATTATTATTCATCAATTTATTACGGAGTATATTTTTGTTTTTGCTAAGAGCCATGTATGTTAAAGTCCCCCACCCGAAAATTAGGAAGTAATAAAGTGGCATATTAAGACGCTAGCTACTCCCCCTATCAACTATCTTTTAGGATGAAATCTCAGATTTTAACAAGCCATTATATTATGTGGTTTTCCAAATATAGATGGTCTAGCTAAATTGTGAATGTAAAGTAAACAAAGGTTCTTTTTTTTAATTAAAAACATTTTAGTGGTTTATTTTGAAAATACAGACATTTTATGATTCTAATGATCTAATACGAAGTATATATGTAGTAATACTTAATTAATTTCTTGATTAAAAATGTGCGTAATTTTAACTTTGGAAAGCCCGTTTTTTTTATCATAAGACCCCCAAATGATTTAAAACGACCTTTGTGTCCAGTACCATTATATCATGCCCAGCTAATCCGGAGTTAAATATGGTAATTACGTATATAATTTGACTTTTACTTATATTATGAAGACTTGACCTAGAGCTTTTTAGGTTGGATAACTAACAAAGTTATTTGATTCATTGGATCAAAGAATTTGTGTCTATTTAAGTTTGTTTAATTTTAGAAGCAACCTTAAAGGAAAAAGAATGTTGTGCAAAAATTTCAAAATGATGGATGCCCAATAGAGCTGAATTTAGAAAGTTGTCTGCCACTAAAGTTGAACTCTCCACTTTTTATCGTAGATGTTAAATCTAACCACACCATTGAAAAGAAAAAAAGAAAAAGAGGGCATTATAATTATTATACAAGATGATGATGATAGTGAAGGACTACTAAACTTGTTTCCCAGCTGAGCATGGAGGTCAATGACCATCTTTTCTTCATAATCTGACAATAGTCCTCTCTTCAAGTCTGGCCTCAGATAATTTATCCATCTCAACCTGCAGCTCTTCCCACATCTCAACAGGCCTGCAATTACATCAAAAGGTCAAAAATAAACCCAAAATGCACCTATGAATTCTGACTATAGCCCAACTTTTTACCTTTCATTCTAAAAAGTTAAACTTGGTGAATACAATACAAAAAAAAAAAAAAAAAAATGGAGTGAATTTTATGACCCAACAGGTATCTTTTAAACATAAAAATTTGTCCAGTAGTAAGTGGAAATACAATTCTGTGAGAGCCCCCCATAGATACAAACCAGGAAAGTATTACATATTTGTGGTCATTTTCCATAGTTAACTTAAAGTAGATGGTAAAGGTAAGGAAAAGGAAAAGAAACCTGCAAGTTTAGGGACAGCTCTCCAGCAACATTGACCATTGTTGAGGATGAAGGTGATGAGCTTCTTGTCCTCCTCTGCTGTCCATGGGCCTTTCTTTAACCCAGCCTTGTCACAGCATGGTTGCCTCCCCATTTCAGTCTTCTCAAATTCTTATGCCTTGGGAATTCTGTGCAGATTTTATATGTACATAAATATATCTGTAGGCAGAAGGAATATAAATGATGGGAAATTCTCAGAGATGTGATATATTGCAGACAAGAAGGAATATATAGGCTATAGCAGAGGCTTGCTTGAGAGTGCAACTTTTGGCTGAAGACAGACAGTGAAGGGTAGCCTGCATATTACAGTATATGCAGTGTATATAAAAGCATCGCACCACCCCTCCCCCGTGCACCCCTCGGTGGGTCCCACCTCCACCATGCCCAAAAGAAAACACGGCTTTAAAACTGGTTTTTGTTTTTGTTTTATTTCTTAAAAGGACTTGGATTCTTGAAAGCATTAATGACGCATAAGGTGACGGATATGCCCTTGCTTGACTTTGAGCTTCCACATTGGAATTCGAGCCCTAAAAAATGTAGTACAACCCTTTTGATTTTATACAGACTTTTAAGATATGTTGTAAAAACCGGACGGATGAGCGATCCTCTCAAGTGACTGGGTCACGGGTCAATTCGGACCCGGTGGATCAATCCGGTCAATGTCGAAAAACCGATCAACGATTATACGTCTATATAATAATAATAAACATATAATTACATACAAAATTATAATAAAAAGTAGTTATTAATCATAATAATCAACTAACAATACTACTTATTTAGCATTTAATACACTCTCATATATTTCAAAGTATAACTTTGATCCTATAAAAATATATAATGATATTTTTATTTGTATTATACATTTATATTATAATTTGGCATGATTTTCATTCTTAAATAAATATATAAATATATTACATAGTTTTTTTTAGAGTATTGAAATTACAACTTTATTGGTTTAAAAAATGCATTAAAATTAAAAAGAAATTACTTTTTTTTTGGAAAAGCACCCAAAACCGGGTTTTCCCGGGTCAGCCGGGGTTTTCCGATTTTTGACCATTTCTGGGTTCTGAACAAACCGAACCGGTTTTTTGTCCAGATCTCCGAGTTCCGGGTCAACCTGGCCGGTTCGGGTCGGTTTTTTAAACATAGCTTTTAAGAAAGTAGTACCACCGCTCATTTTGGTTTTAATATTTTTACTAATAAAAAAATGAAGAATCATTAAAATTGTAGATTGGCATTATAAAATTTGAAATGGAAAAACTTTTGTGTTGCAATAATGTAGTAACGCGTGAGATAAATGCAACCAAAGGGTAAACCATTTGACTATGGAATTATTTATCTGTATGTACCTTTAACTTTTTGTGTGACTAGAAACGATTTCGAGCAAGTCGAAGCTAAGCATGCAATTAGTCGCCTCAGCTCTGTAACGTGACCAAGGCTTTGGCTTCGGCTTTCGGTCCCAAGTCAGAAATCAAAATGATACGTGTATGCATTGCGACACGTCAGACTGAAAGCGCCACATCACCACCGTTGCTTTAGTTGGAAGCATAAATAATAAATACTCCCTCCGTTCTTATATCAAAATATTCACTCATTTTTCACACATTTTAAAAAAGTGAAGTTGATTGGTACTGTTTAGACAGTGTTTGACCATGTTTTGCATTGTTTTGTTGCCAAAAAGGGAAAGAAAACTTTTATTTAGGGACGATCCGAAAAGGAAACAAATGTTTTTTATTTAGGGACGGAGGGAGTAATGTTTTAAATGAGTTTTTAGTCCCGGTAAACATAGTACATTTTGTTTTACATCCTGCAATATTCTTTTTTGTTTTGTTTTTCATCTTTACGAAATATGTTGGTTTCCTTTTTAGTACATCACCGATGATAACAACCTCCGTTTGACAATGAAACAACCCGGAGTAAGATGATACGTTTCCTCTAAATATTTGTTGTGTTATTCCAAACATACTTAATTTCATTTTTAGAAGGTTTTTATACATAATTTAAAAAATCTGAGTAATTAGTTTTACATTGTTTTAACTCTCATATTAGCCTCAAAAAAATTATAAAAGGATATATTTAATAGTTTCTAGTAAATTTATGCAACCGACAATACCTTTTTCTCAAATATATTGATTTCCGAGTTAGAGATGCACCAAAAATAGTGCATATTACAGAGATGAAAAACAAAAAAAATATTTTGCAAGGACTTAAAACAAAGTGTGTCATATTTACAGAGATAAGAAAAAATTAAGCAAAGTACTTTAACATCGAAAATAATAGTGTAATATAATTAGATTTATAATATATAAAAACCGAGTACTTTATATATATAGTAATATAGTACGTATATAATTTGATTTTGGATATCCAACCATCCGTTTACAAGTTATAACATCACAGTTCAATTATCTTTTTCTAGAGTAGGTAAACCTTTTCTTTATCCAAAGACACTAATCGTATTTCAATCTTTATACTTTATAGTGTACTCCTTCACGTAAATAATCAAATTTTATTAAGGAAAAGGGTGCAAATAGGCCCATGTACTAATCAAAAAAGGTCAAATAAGATCTTATTTAGGAGGTTGTGTACGGTCATCGCCATTTGGGATGGTTCCCAGTGAAAGTTTTTGATGAAATTTTTTGAGCATCTTATTCATCAAGTCTAGTTTACTCATACCAAATTTCAGCTAAAAATTCATTGGGGAAGGCATTCAAATGAATTCTTGAAAATAACTGCGCAGTTAGAATCGCAGTTATCTTCAAGAATTCATTTGAATGCCTTCCCGATTGAGTAAACTAGACTTGATGAATAAGATTCTAAAACAATTTCATCAAAAAAATCCACCAGGAACCACTCCAAATGACGACGTCCGTACAGAGCCTCCTAAATAAGGGTTTATTTGACCTTTTTTTGTTAGTACATGAACTTATTTGCACCTTTTTCCTTTTATTAAATTGCTCAAGTCAGGCTCGTCTGAGATTGAAATTAGTGCAAAAGGCATTCTAAATCATAAAACTAAACATTTGCATGTTATGATGTTACCTCTAAAAAATTATGGAATTAATATTAGAAGGGAACAAATTAAATAAAATAAAGATTGGGTTATTCAGCAAGATTGTGAAAGGTTAGTATCATAAGAAAATTAGGAAAAAATAGATTATACTACGTACAATAAATTACTCAAAAATCATTAGTAAAACATTGGAGCTTTTCTAAATAACAGTGGTGTTTTTATTCATCATGCATATTCTGAAAGTTTCATATGTGAAATGGGTTTCGAAACTGCTCGGCTATTAAGAAAAAGTCAAAAAGATTTCTCTAGAGGTGGGCCTATTCATTTACTTGGCAGGAATCATAATATATTTATTTGTTCACAAGGTTGACCTCCAACGCGTTATGCGCCGATCCGACAGAGTATATGTGAGATTATAAATCACATTGACTCAACAATTCTAATGGTGGTAGACCTTATACATGTGCGTATCAGAGATTTAGTCCAACACACAGGAGCTGTAACCTCCACATGATCACTGCGGGCTTCGATCCTTGGTCATTTATCCAACTTTCCCACCGCTTTACCACTTAGGGTACCGTGCGGGTATAAATTTATTTTTAACATGGGTTGTGTTAATAGCTTGTTCCAAAATCGCGTTCCAAAAACTCATTCCAAACCCGTGTCAATATCATTGTTTTTTTTGTACTCGGTGCTGAGTTGTGAATTGTGATGAGTTTTGAAATTTGCTAGTCTGATCCAAAAAAACTCATTGTTTTTTTAGATTGAAATTTGCTAGTCTGATCTGATCTGGCATGGACCGGCCTGATGTGGGAAATGTATGGTCTTTGTGTATTTTATAATTACGCAAGTCTGATCTGGTCTAATCTGGTTTAGGACTGAAAACTGTCCAAAAGAAAACATTCGTAATATTATTCTTATTTGTAGGAAAATTTACTTCGTATTACGGTATTTCCTTCTCCCAAAATCTCCATATTTGTATATGTATTTGGAGCTAAATGACCGCACGTATCAAAACTTTAATGAATTGCACATTTAACCTTTTTACCATAAATTTATATTTTTTATTTAACATAAACAAGATCTTTGATGGCCAAAATGAGACGCATGGCAAATTTGAATACTTGTCAATATTTTATTGAGAAAATTCCTTAAATAGGAGTAAAAAAGTTTTGAAATTCCAAAATAGGATTATCATGTTTTTATTCCTTGAATAGGAGTAAATTTCTGCCAAGTTTGGCAATACTAGGCTTTAAAACATGACTTTTTTTTCCAAACTTGGCAGATACTCCTATTTAGCTTCTAGTTAGAGTAATTTCTATATTTTATTTTAAATTGATCGACTGATAGTAATGTAAATGTCTCTTCTGTATCTAATAACTATTATTACACGTTTTAACGTATCTAACTAAATTGTATGTTTAAATTCGCCCAGGTCATACTTTGTATTTATTGATCACTTAATATATTATACTTAGCTTTCAAGTATCAACAAATATTCCATTACAATTAAAGTGCTAGTTTTACATATTATGGCCTAAGCCTATTGATTGAAATCCATTTCAATATAGCCCTATTTTTGTAGTACAAACATTATATTAAATGAGAACAGCATTTAATATATTTGGTCTTTCAATAGATGATGTCAACATTATATTAAATAGTCATATTATTGAATACATATTCAAACATGCAAACGACACATTGTCATGTTCAGGTTGGTTTGAGACTTGTATGGATAAAACATTTGAATGGGCTAAATGAATACAACTATAAAGTTTGAATATATCAATTTATGAATTTAACTTTGGTCAAAGTTGTAATAAGGATGACGGCCAAGTTTTATTTTTGCTTGAAAATTGGTCAATCAAGCCGTGTATTGCACGAACAAAATTTATTCAAATACTCCGTAGTAATTTGTGTAATGAGTAGTGAACTATATTTTTAATAAACAAGTGGAATTCGAACTTTCAAAAATATGTTACTAGTATGATTGAAATGATTGATATTCAAATTAAGGAATATAATAGTCCGTAATAAATTAGGATTGCAATATTGCATCTCAAATTAAGATACACAGGGAGCGGTTCCGGTAAGAACGGACTCCCAGGAGAGAAATGAGAACGAATCTGAACCGTTGGATTATATTATGTGAAACAGGGTTGTGCATTTGGTAAACTGAAATGTGGATCAGATGATATTGAAATGTGCAGAATAAAAACTCAAAGTGAAGATTTCAGTTTCATCTAGTGCACATTTTAATTTCACCTAATGCACAATTCAGCTTCACATAATGTCATTGTATTGTACCATTTGTGCTGCACATTTCAATTACAACTAATGCACATTACAGTTTCATCTAATGCACATTGAATTTCACCTAAAGCAAATTCAACGGTCCAGATTCATTCTCATTTTTTTCCTAAGATCATGTTCTTATTTGAACCAAAACTATATATATATATATATATATATATATATATATATATATATATATATATGTATATATATCATCTACAGTCATCTAGAGATTTAAACCCCTTTCAAATGGTAACCCCCTTAAATTCAAAAAAAAATTAAAATGATAACTTCAACCAATACAACCAGAAAAGTAACTTCAACCTTACTTTTTCTGCTTATTACCCAATTCAACACGTGAAAGCAAAAGTTACGTGTTTGATGAAAAAATTGCTTGATAAACCTGATAAGGCGAAAAATAGTGTTGTTAAACGGCCTCTATAAAATTTAGCAGAATAATCCGATTCAGCAGATTTAAATGTTACCAAACGGGCTTATAATGTAGTGCTTTTAATTTAGAAATTTACGTTTTTACTCTTACAGCCAATTTTTGTAAGAAGTATCCTATAATAAAAGACCCTTTTTAAATCCCCCGGTCCATCTAAACCTTACTCGAATTGCCGCAGTACTTGTGGAATTTTCGTTTCATTCTATGGACGAAGAATTAATTGAACACATGCATGACTTTGTTTTGCTTGTGTGTATTATTATAAGTAGGGCTGGTTTCGGTTCGGGACCCATCCAATATCATAACCGAAATCGAACCGATCATCAAATGGGTCCCAATTTATTGGGAACCGATTTTTCGGGTAGGTTTATCAAAAACCGATCAAAAACCGACATATACAAATTATATATCACTAAAAAAATTAAACTTGAACTAGAATTCAATTCCATGAGCCAAAAATGTGACATTTAGATTTTTGAGTACATTAAAGTCCACTTTGATAGTCTAGGACCAGAATACATGACCCATTCAGGCACATTTACAAGTTTGAGGTCATCTCTTATTATATAGAAGCATTTGAGGAGTAAACTCCTTTTGTTTCCGGTGTGGGATGAAAAATCCACAGAAGAGAGAAAAAAAGCTTCAAGCATATCACAACCTAAATAGTATCACCCGCGGGATTCGAACCCGTGACCAACCAAATGGCTAAAACACTACGCGACCGGCGAACCAAGGCATATGATACGTTCACTATCCTCTCCAAACGGTATTGTATATTTAGTAAATGAAATTAATAAAAACAATTATTATTATTAATAAAAAATCGGTTCGATTCGGTCCAAACCGATATTTTGAGAGTACAAACCGATTTCGAACCAATTTTTTTTCGGGTCCCGATTTTCGGGTCCCAAAAATTATCGATTCGCTCCGGTTCGTTTTTTTTTTCAATGCGGTTCGGTTATTTTCGATTCGGTTTTCGGTTTTTCGGTTCAAAATGCCAGCCCTAATTATAAGTGGCTGGATTGGGCTCAGCCGCTGAAGCATTAAAATGCTGTAGTTAGTAGTTTGCAAAATTTCAACTCAAATTGAAGTATTTACACGACTATTTTCTAAAACTAGAATAAGTACTTTAAAATGGATGAAGTCATTTAATTAATTAAAGCTAATATTTTTGTGTTAAATGACACTGCTGACTATTTTTCTCATGTTAAATCACTTATTCTTTAAAATGGTGACTATTTCCATTTCTATTTCCATGCTACAGTTAGTTGGTGAAATCAATTATGTTTACCCTCTCAAAAGAGGTTGACTCACCGCACCCTATTTGCTTGCTACGTGGCAAGACAATTAGTTTTACAATCTTTTCATTTTAATCCAAAATTTATTTAAAATATATTAATTAATTTTTTTACAATCTTTCATATGGTATCAATATTGAATATAAATGATTTAAAAAATAATCCAACTAAAAATGAATATTGAGAAAAATCGATTTTTTTTTCAATTTTTAATATACAATATTGAAATCATTGGAAACATCTTAAAAAATTATTAAATCTGATATATTTTTTTAATAAAAATTGGGCAATAACTTAAAATGTTATTTTAATTTAAACAAAAAAGGAAATGGAATGCCAAATGGCAACAATTGAGCTAAGGGGGTGACGTTCACCCTCCAAGAAGGGGTGAACATAAGTTAATGAATTACTGACATACATTTATTAGAGACAATATATTTCAAAAAATGTATTATTTTTTTTATAGAATTTTAAACCTTATATTTGGGTGAGATTTTTGAAATGTGTAGTTTTAACTTGCACATTTTATAGGAGCAGTTATTCCTAAATTAAAGATTGTTTATAAAAATGTGACCCTTTAAATATAATGATTATAGTAGTAACTTTAGATATAATAACTTGTGTTTAGTTTTTAATTCAAGGGAATATCACAATTTTGTAACCTTCAAAATTGTAACCTTCAAAATTTTGAAACTTAGTAAATTGAATCAATTCAATTAGAAAGACAAGTTTAACCGTACACAATTTGATTATTACACAATTCAAAACTTAGTATATCTAAGTATATTCAAGGGACACTCATAATAACTTGGTCATATTTTGTAACCTTCAAAATTTTTACCATTTTTTCTAGTTGTTTTTCCACAAGAAGTGGATATTAATTAAACATCATTAAAAATCAAGCACTAGAAATACTGAAATTGATTGAATTGAAAATATCTAAAACATATATCTACATCTATTTAATCAATTCATTTAGAAAAACAAGTTTAATAGGAGTATCATGTTTTTTATTCATTGAATATGAGTAAATATCTGCCAAATTTGACATAACTAGGCTTTAAAACATGACATTTTTTCCAAACTTGGCAGTTTACTCCTATTCAGAGAATAAAAAACATGATACTCCTACTATTTTGTAATTTCAAAACGTTTTTGCTCCTATTTAGAGTAATTTCTAATAAGATTATTACATAGTTCAAAAATGTAAAAATGTTATGATAAGATTAATTAGTTTAAAGTAGTTACCAACCTCATTCTAAATGTTAAGATGAGATCCTCAACCTCACAAGGAAATCTCTTGCTGAGTTGCTGAACCGCATAAGAAAAATGGCGGAGTTTCCCATATGTTTCTTGTTTTAGTCGGCGCCTTGGCGGAGCTTCCTAAGCCATTTTGTGTGACTTTCTCAACCTATACTCGGTATTTCCTCCTCGTTTCCCCCTTTTGGGTCCATTTTCCTTTTTCTTTCTGTTTTTAATTGAAGAAGGTTTTCGTCTATTAATTAATTCCATCAATTCATCAAAGATCAAAGCTCTCATCTTTTGCGGTCATGGGCATATGGGAGTCTTTCCTCAACTGGCTTCGCAGGTGATCCTTTACTTCCAACAATTGTCTTCAATGTTAAAGTGTTGATTTCTGTGATTTCTTTGTAATTTAGTGGAATGTATCAGGTATTTTATGACCCAATGATAATAGCAAGAAAGTGGTCATTCGTCTATATTCAATATGTAGTTAAATCAGGTGGAAAATTGAATTGAACACATGAACTTTTTTTGACTTCTTTAAACTTCTTGATTTGCAACTTTGCTCCAATATTTGTAGGCCTCAACTTTTCTGTTAGTATAATGATATACACAGGGGAATGGTGAGGGAATGGTTCAGGAATAGTACATTTTTCTGAAATTTACTCCCCAGTAAAAATTGAGGGTGAAGGGATTTGGGGTGAATTCGAAAAGAATTTACTATTCTATGAACAATTTCCTATCTCTATCAATGTGCATATTAATATCCGTTTTGTTATGATTAACATCTGGTTAGTTTTCGACATTGGTTGATGATCCCGCAGGGATTGATTATTGGATTACATTTCTGTGAGGATGTGTACTGTACTCAATTTATGTGTAGTATAATCAATTTAGATTGTTAAAACCATTTTCGATTCTAATTGCTCCTTCCTTGATTTGAGTTTATTCAGGAATATTTAGACCCCTAAAATAAATTTTGACCAAATAAGTAATTTAAATATGTGGCTTCTTAGGGCATCTCCAATGGAGAGGTGGATTGCCAAAAAAAAATCCATCCACCTCACCAAATAGACCCTTTGTGAGCAAATGCATTCTCCAATGCAAAAAGAAATGAATTGGGTTCATCCTAGGTGGCAATGCACAAGGTCCAGCATGAGGTCTACAATGAGACCCTCGGTTTCACATCTTCTCCTTGCTATGTTGATTTGTTAATAATGATTTTTATTTTGCATAGCCTTTCCTTCCGTCCGCATTGGAGTTGGTTATTAATAGACCCTCTGCATTGGTTGTACACCCTCTCCATTAGTTGTACACCTAAGCACCAATCCATCCTATGGATTGGAGATGCTCTTATACTGTCTATTCTTCCCATTCTTTTGCTCATTATGTTCAATTAGTTATATATGGTGTGTTAGTTAAACAGGACTTCAATGATCGTCATGTGCCATTTTATTTTTAAATATGCATGTCTTTACAGTACCATTGCTGCAAAGGAGTAATAATAACAATAACAATAATAATAGATTTATCATTTTCATTTTATGTTCCATTCGATCACAGATTTACGGTAAGTCGGTAACTAGAGTGAGAAGAATAACAATACCTGTGTGTTTTCTGAATTGCATTGCAGCCTGTTCTTCAAACAGGAGATGGAGATATCCCTTGTTGGACTACAAAATGCAGGCAAAACATCTCTAGTTAACTCCATTGCTGTAAGAATGTTTTCTCTTCCTCCAGTTTCCCAAATATCTTACATTGGTCACATCACTAATTATTTGTTTTCTAACATTTTTTCATTTTCAATCAACCAGACTGGCGGCTACAGCGAGGACATGGTTCCAACCGTAAGCGTCTTTATTTCCTCCCTAATTAGGGTTCCCTCCTGTTCTATTTATAGAGTGGTCCTAAATAAAACTCCCTTTTTATATTAATAATGCATACAGATACATAGATACTTATTTGCACATCCCTCCAATTTCACAATAGCCCAATGAAGTAGGGTCTTGAGGATGGAGCCTTATTTGGTATTGAGGTTGATCTGGACGATGAAGTACTATGGAATAAGCGCATATTAGAAAAATTGAGGTTTGGTTACCCTAAATATTCTTCCCTCCGTCTCATTTTATATACCCTGTTTCGGGAATATGAGGTTTGACTGGAGTTAAAACTAATGCTTCCCTAACACTACCTCTGTCCCACTAACATTGGGACATGAAGAGGTGGTGTGATTATTTAAAAAGTGAGTATAAGTGGTTGATATTGAATTGATAAAGTAAGAATAATAAAGTAAGAATGATTTAGAACCACACAAACTTTACCAATTTTGGTATGAGAACACCTTAGGGGACGGATCGAAAAGGAAAGTTGGGACAATCTTAGCAGGATGGAGGGAGTAATATTTAAATGTGTATTAATGATTAAAATTTACATATATAGAAACTACTTAACATTCTATTGATTCTCAAATTCAGAGAAAACATAAGAACTAGGTTGACCGCATGAGTAGTTAACATGACAAACAAAGTGGGACATATGGAGTACTAATTATTCTATTGGTTTGTGTCAAAGCCAAAACCAGCCCTATAAGTAGGACTGGAGGGAGTATAGTGGTTCATATAGATCTTGAATGTTTGGTTATCTTAGTAGAGTTCATTCCAAACCAGGTTGGGTTTAACATGCGTAAAGTGACAAAGGGAAATGTATCTATCAAAATTTGGGACGTCGGAGGGCAGCATAGGTTTCGTTCCATGTGGGAGCGTTACTGTCGTGGTGTCTCTGCTATTGTGTAATCTCTTTACTTCTCTTCACCATGTGGGCGTCTTGTAATTTAAACACTTTCTACTTTTTACCGATATAACATGTATAATGTGCCACTGGTTTATTTAACCATTTATTTGAGTACTTGTGAGGAATATACTATCCTGTGATTAGGATTGATTGTGTTAAGTCTAGGCATGGACTTGGGCTGGGCCCGACTGGGCATTTTTTGGGAATCTTGAGGCCCCGGAACCGGCCTGTGTAGCTACCGGGCCCGGGTCGGGCCACCCGGCGGGTACCGGGCCGGGTACCTTTTTTTTTTTTCTAATTACTTCCTACTACCCCACCCCCACCCCAAACCCCTCCAAAACACCCGACCCAACCCATTTACCTTTTAAAAAATTTGAAAGAAAAAATGGCTCGAACCGGGCCCGGCCGGGCCGGTTCATGATTATTGAGACCCGGAGCCCGCCCCTGAACAGAACCGGGCCGGGTTTCCCGAACCGGCTAGATGACCCGGGTACCGGGCCGGGCTTGGCCCAAACAGTACTGGGCCGGTCTTGGCCCAAACAGTACCGGGCCGGGCTTTGCCCTAACAGTACCGGGCCGGTCACTGGCCGGTTGACCCGGCCCGAGTCCATCTCTAGTTATGTCATCCCATAATGGCTAAATATCAATATACAGATTCATTATATAAGGTCTTGAGCTACACCTCTTATTTGGTTGATTTTTAACACTGAACCCAAATCTTAATAGACAACAAAACATGTTCATAAAGGGCGGTTTACCTAAATTTCTTGTTCATGACTTGTTTATAAGATTAGGACTAAAATGTTTTTTCGCCTCTCTCTAAATATTGAGTTTGTTTAGGCTGTATTCTTTTCTGTAGAGTAGCTAATAATAGTACAATTTGACAGTTATGTGGTTGATGCTGCCGATCGAGATAGTGTTCCTATATCCCGGACTGAACTTCATGATCTCTTGACAAAGCCTTCACTGACCAGTATCCCGTTACTTGTACTTGGAAACAAAATCGACAAACCAGAAGCTCTTACCAAGCAGCATCTCATGGACCAATTGTAAGCATTTGAGCATTAGTAGTATTAGTCTTGCAAGTAAGTTTCCCTATTATAATTATCATTCTTGACATCTGTTCTTTAAATTGTCTGATATTATCAGGAGTCTTCAAACAATTAAGGATAGAGAGGTCTGCTGCTATATGATCTCTTGTAAAAATTCTGTAAACATTGATGTTGTTATTGATTGGCTTATTAAGCACGCCAAGACAACTAAGTGAAGCTTTTGGCCAAAGTAACATGTAAAGCTGGTATTCTTCACTATTTTCATAAAATAACTAAAATATGAAATAAATTTTTTGATGATTGGCTTTTCAACAATAAATACACACAAATAGGGCATGTATCATCTACACTGTGTCAGTGTGTAGGACTGTAGGTAGCAAAAACAGACAGACATAAAAATGTGAGGAAAATGATGAGATGAGTAGTTGCCCCGGAAAGAAGATACATGGCTTGATCTTCTATTTCTCTAAGGTTATGTTTGATGTGAATATGTGATGGATGAGCGATGTAATTTTACCCATTAAAACAATTTTCTTGTTCTTTTATGTTTCACAAATTTGTTTTATCTTGGTTTGTCCTATATTTGCACCTCGATTAAATTTCGCTTTGATTTTTAGTCTTCAAAGTCGGAGGTGTCGATATTGCCAAGTAGGTTTAGAGGGTGTGATACTTTGTACTATTTTTTCTAATCAGTTCGGTTTGGATTAAGATCTATATGTATCAATATGATGTCTATTTGAACTAAACAATATTTGTATATGAAATTGTTTATCTTGTGTGTTGAATAAATAATCAAAATTTAATAAAGTGATCAATTTATAATATTATTGAGCTATATTGTAAAGGGTTAAATATGTTTTTAGTCCTTGCAAGTATAACACTTTGTTTTAGAACATTGCATTTTTTTTTTTGTTTTTCATCCGCAATATTTTATTTTTAGTTCATATCTAATTCTGATACAACTCTACATAGAAAAACATATGTTGTCGGTTGCGTAGATCTACTTGATACATTTAAATTAATCCTTTTATAATTTTTTGAGGCTAATATGAGCCTTGAAACAATATAAAAATTATTATTCACATTTTTAAAATGTGCATAAAAAACCTTTTAACAAATAAAATAAAATATTTTTTGAATAATATGTAAAAGAATAATTGGAAATTTATTAGTTAAAGTTATTCTATTGTCAAACGGGTGTTGTTATCATCAACGAGGAACTAAAAATAAAATCAATATAAACCTTCAAGGATGAAAAAAAAAATTTGTAAGCATGTAAAATCAATATATCTTGTATGTTGAATTTCAATTTAATATTATTATCAAATATTCAAATTTAGCAAGATTCAATTCGAGCTCCAGTTGAGCTCGATTGAAATCGCTCGATTTGAGCTGGATCTGAACTCGCTCGAACCAAAATTATTATGTTGGTTCAAGCTGGACCTGAGAGGTTGAGCTCGTACATATTTATCTCCTACATTTTTTTGTGGTTCAAGTAATCCCGACTTCGCTCGTTTGCTTAATTGGTAGTCAAGAACGCAAATTACGTATAATAGATGAGGCATCATTCTTATGAACTCTTGATGAAAAGCATTCAAAACTCAAAAGTTCAAACAAGTTTATGAGGACAAGCAATTCCATTCCAAATGCGTTGAACCACTCGAATTTGATTAGTGTTGTCTTTGTATTACCGCAAAGTACAAGAATCCAAAGAAAGAAAGACTGGCCAAAAGAAAACTATCATGCCAAAGTATCCACCTAGCTCAAAAAATATGACCTCCATGGCTTGGTGCACATTTTGAATTAGGTTAAAAATAATAAAAATAAAAATTATGTGATTGATATTTGTACAGAGAAAAGAAAAATGAGCAAAATCACAAACTAAATGCCTTAATGGAAAAGAGGGAAAATTGTGAGGATAATCCAAAAGGAAAAATCAACAAAAACCCAATAGGATGAAAGAAGTAGTAAATACGCGAGACATTATAATGTGAGATCATTTGAAATAGCGTGAAGTTATTAGAATGTAAATTACCAAGGATATAAAATTACTTAAGTGATTTCGGATTATCTCGCGTATTTAACCGAAAAAGTAAAAAAAAAATTAATTCTTACTACGTATTTTGTAGTAAATAATTACGAGAATGCAACAATTTACGAATAGTATAAGAGTGTGTTTGGCACAACTAGATGAAAGTATACGTTTATAGGCTTTACTGTAACTGTTAACTTTTAATGGCTGTTTGATTAAAAAACTATCGGTTTGATTTAGTTTTGTTTGATATACAAGCTGTTAGTATTAATTAATATTAAAAGTTGTCGACTTTTATCAGATGATACTCATTGTAGCATCTTAAAAAGATCTTTTATTTTTTAAAAAACTCTTATAAATTGTAATGTCAAACATACAAATAAAAGTTTTTAGAGACTTTTTAAATAGAATAACTAGAAAGTAGGGGCTTATGCTACCAAATATACACTAAAATTAGTAAGAAACTTTTAAGAGTTTTTAGATAGCACCAATCTTCAGCTTTTAGATATATTAGCCATTTTTTATTATCAAATTCTACATTCGTCCCAAAAATATTTAGTCATCTTTAAAGCTTTGACCACCTATATATTTTTATTTAAAATTATTTATAATATACAAATTATATGAAAATGTTCTTTATTAAAAGTACTTTTATAAAAATATAAAATTTATAACTTCCGTAATATTATACATCATCAGTCCTATAATTTTTTTCACACTTATCTTTTTGAGATGTCCTTAAAAAATATTTCCATTTTTCTTTTTGGAAAGTTTTTTGTATATAACATTCATTTACTTTTGGGAAAATGGAAACTAATAATCCAATCTTTTAGCGGTCTTCTACAATAGTCCCACATTTTCGTTATTTAGGAATAATCCAACCTTTGCACCACATCTTCATTCAATGGTCTCTGACCGGTTGATGACCTGTTATTCCAGGTTATTTTCTCATCTTTGCAAAACATTATGTGAACATAAGGTGGGATTTATGGTATAATATATTACAAAGATAAGAAAATAACTTGGAATAACAGGCGAATGAAGATGGGGCGCAAATGTTGGATTATTCCCGAATAACGAAAAAGTGACTATTGTAAGAAGATCGTTAAAAGGTTGAATTATTAGTTTCCACTTTCCCTTTACTTTTTTCATATTCAACCACAACAATACATTTTCACTTTATTTTCATTTTCTTAAACTCTGCTCCATGTCTAACCGAGAAGAATTTTATGAGACATAGAGAATACTAATTAAAATTATGGTCAAACTTTAAGAGATTCAAATAATTTGGGATGAAGGTAGTATGTTACTTTTAATTTCTCGCCCTGAATAATGCAATTATAATAAAAGTAAAATTGGAGTTAATTTTCTAATTTAATTGATTGAAATTAACGAAGTGGACTATTTTATCTATTTTTTTATATATTTTTTTCTTTATTTTATTAACAAGATATGAAATATCCCCGTATAACAATAAGAGTCCCAATAGGTTTTTCACGTATTTTAAGATAGTTTATAGGTTTATACCCCATATTATTGTCTAAATTGGACTTTGCATCCCGTTTTTAAAAATATTTGTTTTTGCACCCAACCCCATATGAAAAGACAAAAATGTCCTCAATCAAGAATATGTTGAAGGTCAACATAATTGTTAATGGAGGGGCATTTTAGTCTTTTCATATGGGATTAGGATGCAAAAATAAAGATCTTTAAAAACGGGGTGCAAAGTCCAATTTGGACAATAATATGGAGTGCAAACTCAAATTACCCCTTATTAATTTGTCACACTTGGAATTGTTATAAAATACTCCAGTACTACCCAGTGGTAATAAAACATTATTGGGATATTAGCCCTAAATAGGACTAAATTAATCCAAAATTCAACAATAGGATTACAATTCTTTTATTTCTAAAATAGGATTAATATATGTCCTTTCTTGCCATTCTCTCCCTTCCTATAATTTCTAATAGATTTATTTTATTAATAAGAAATTATATTTTTATTCATAATAAAAATATAAAAAATAATAAAATATTTATAAATTAATAATTAAAATGTGAAAAAATGAATAAAAAACTTCAAAAAAATTAAAAAATTAAAATAAAATACCTAAAAAATATTTTAAAAATATGTAGGTCACTGCCACCACGACCTCCACCTCACAACACCACAAACTCCGGTCGCCGGGAAAATGTCCAGCTGTCTTTTCAAACTTACCCCAATGACTTGACATTTTTTTCAACTTGACATTTTTTTCCGGTGCCAGAAGGTGGCTGAGGTGGTAGTTGAGACCTGTATATTTTTATTTATTTTTTGCGTTTTTTAATGTTATATTATTATTATTATTTAAAAAAGAGAGAAAGCTCAAAATTGACACTAAGATTATTTGAGAAACTCATATTGAACACTAAATTTTTAAGTAACCAAATTAATACAAAGTATAAGTTTTTGTGTCATATTTGGACACTCATTACGGCATACTTCCTCCGTCCCTGAATTTATTTCCAACTTTCCCTTTTCATCCGTTCCAAAAAGAATTGTTCTTTCCATTTTTGGCAAAAAATTTGTGGTTCATAGCAATTCTTACACATTTCTCTCTCATCTGCACAACTCTCCACCACACAATTCTCACTTTCTTAATCCGTGTGACATTTGTACTACGGAAGTAAATCCCGGAACGGATGGAGTACTAAACTTAACGGTTGTTCCCGTCTATTACCAAGTTACCATTCTTCCTCGCCCAAAAGCTAAATTAACACCGTCTCTCTTCTCTGAAAGAGCACTAGACTTCATCAGATTTCTTCCCCATTGCAACAACCAAGTAGCCAACTCTTCTTAAATCCAAACCCCATACAAACAGCTTCTCCCTCTTCGCCCAAAGTCCTGTTTTGACTCCGACGGACCTACAATTCTACAAGACCCACAACTTACACTCGCAATTGGATACAGTAATGCCAACAATGGCACAAGAGCAATTGACTAGCCAAATTTCATTTGGTTGGTGATACAATGCCAGAGAAGAAGTCCGGCCATTAATTCCATTGATCCTGGACATTATCGTACCAATTGGCCTAGGTTGGGATGTTCATCCTTCTTCGGGTAATTGTTCTTCGTCCATTGTTTTAAAACAATATACTCCCTCCGTCCCGTTGGAATGTTCCCGCTTTCCTTTTTTGGATGTCCCGTTGGAAAAATTCCATTTCCTTAAATGGAAAGTTATCCTACATCAAAACAGGGTCAAACAGTGCCAAACTGTTAAATAATAATAGTTATTTATTATATATTGTTTTTAATAAACTTACGGAAGTATAGCTTCCAGGAGGTATTAGGACTTACGTAATGTTTAGTAGTCCTATTAGGACTCTTTCTTTTGCTGTATTATAAACCATGCCGGTGAGATCAATGGAACAACAGTTCAACTTTATTTCTGATTAATTCGGTTTTTATGGTATCAGAGCCACGCTCGTGTGAGCGTAGTTGATTTCGCCGGCGGACATGGCCAACGGCAAAGAGAATGAAGACGGCGGTGCTTCATCAATAAAAATCGATCATACTTCTCCATATTATCTTGGACCTCAAGATAGACCGGGGGACTATATTACTCCTATTCGGCTTCATGGTGAGAACTACGACGACTGGGCAGGATCCGTTCGTTTGGCGCTGAAAGCACGACGTAAATTCGTGTTTTTAGATGGATCAATAAAAACCTACGAAAATCATTGTACGGAGGAAGATTGGCAAACTATTCATTCTATGCTCGTGTCATGGTTGATGAACACCATAGCACCGGAAGTGAGAAGTACCCTTTCTCAATACGAAGATGCAAAACTTTTGTGGGAAGATCTTAAAGAAAGATTTTCAGTTGTGGATGGACCACGTATCCATCAATTGAAGGTCAACATAGCAAGATGTGAGCAATCGCCCTCTATGACGGTTGCAAACTATTACGGACAGCTCAAGATGTGGTGGGATGAATTAAATAATTATGAACCACTCTTGAGTTGCACATGTGGGAAGTGTACATGCAAGCTTGGAGAATTGCATGCACAACGACGTGAGTCCGAGAGATTTCATCAGTTTTTGATGGGCTTAACTCCTGACTTTTATGCACAAATACGATCTAATTTGCTGTCTCAAGAACCTCTGCCGACCCTAAATAGAGCGTACCACCAGATAACGCAAGAAGAACGGGTGCGTGGAACTGCTCAGAAAAAGGAAGAAAAACCTGAAATTATGGGTTTTGCGGCAAAGGCTGTGGGACGGGAAAATAATAAAGCCTCTAAAGTGGACAAATCTGGAATGGTTTGTACACATTGCAATTTTCCAGGCCATGAGATCACTGGTTGTTTTCAATTGATTGGTTATCCGGATTGGTGGGGAAACCGCCCGCGAGGAATAATCAAAGGTACTGGACAAGGCAAATCAGGGACAGGACGCGGCTCGGTTGCTGTAACGGCGCATGCAGCAGCCAGTGAACATATTATTCCACAGTGCAGTTCGCAGAAGGAGGGAGAAGCTTCTGCCACGACTTTACCTGGTTTTACTGCTGAGCAATGGCGTGCACTCACAGCGGCTTTCGGTAAAAACTCAGCTTCTTCTGATCATATGACCGGTAAGTTTAATTCTTCTCTGTGGATACTTGATACCGGAGCAACGAATCACGTCACTGGAAGTGTTGATTTTCTGTCAAATATTTGCAATGTGAATAAAATCCCAGTCAACTTGCCTAACGGACAGGTTGTGACGGCAACAAAGGAAGGAACAGTCCTATTGTCAGAATCTGTGTCATTAACAAATGTTTTATATGTACCTCAATTACGGTGCAATTTAATTTCTGTGTCACAGTTGACGGATGATCTAAACTGTGTTGTACAATTTGTCGCTAATATGTGTGTTATTCAGGACCGACACTCGAGGAAGCTGATTGGAACGGGTGAACGATGGGATGGCCTGTACTACTTTAAACAAGATTCTGGACAGTGTGTGGCGGTGAATGGCGTGGACTTACCAGCAGATCTTTGGCATAAAAGGCTAGGGCATCCGTCTGAAAATTTAATTAAATCTTTGTCTTCTGTTGAGAGTAGTGTTGATTCTCCTTGTGACATTTGTTTTCGTGCCAAACAAACTCGTGAAGTATTTCCATTAAGTAATAATAAAGCTAGTCGGATTTTTGATTTGATTCATATTGATGTTTGGGGTCCATATCCGACTGTATCAACTTGTGGAGCCAAAAGTTTTCTCACAATTGTAGATGATTTTTCACGAGCTGTGTGGATTTATCTTTTGGTTGATAAAAAGGAAGTGTACCCACGATTCATGTCTTTTATTGCTTTAGTAAAATGTCAATTTTCTCAAACCATTCGTCGTGTGCGAAGCGATAATGGAACCGAGTTTAATTGTCTTAAGCAATATTTTAGTGACCATGGGGTTATTTTTGAGACATCGTGCGTGGGAACTCCTCAACAAAATGGACGTGTGGAACGTAAACATCGTCATATATTAAATGTTGCTCGAGCTCTGCGTTTTCAGGGTAATTTGCCTATAGATTACTGGGGGGAGTGTGTGTTGACGGCAGGATACTTAATTAATCGCACACCGTCCAAAGTATTATCTCAACGCACTCCTTATGAAATTTTGTATGACCGCAAGCCAAATTATTCTGAACTTCGGGTCTTTGGATGCCTGTGTTATGCGCATAATCTTAGGGCGAAGGGTGACAAGTTTTCTTCTCGAAGCCGCAAATGTGTATTCTTGGGCTATCCTTTTGCCAAAAAGGGGTGGCGTTTGCTTGATCTGGAGAATTCTGAAATTTTTGTGACTCGAGACGTTAAATTTTTTGAAGACGTATTTCCCTTTTCCACGACACCAGAACCTCCTGAACACGAAGTTGGCATAGATGCTATGGCTGATAACATGGTTGTATTTACTAATTTTGAGCCACACGCACAAGCTACACTCCCAGAATCTGCTACGGGAGTGGGTACACCTGCGGTCACGGAAGCCACATCAGATACTCCACCTGGGGATTTTCGTGAAGCTACTGTCGAGGCCCCTGCATCTCCCGAAGAATTTTTTGCTCAACCTGTTCGTCGTGGGACACGTGTCAGGTACCCTTCTGTGCGACTTCAAGATTACGCCACACACACTGTCATTCCTCCTCGGCCATCCCAAACACACTCGGGTCCTCAGCATTCCTCAGTAATCCGTTTCCTATAACACATTATATTAATTGTGATAAATTTTCTAACAAGCATGTGAAGTTTCTTGCTGCTATTACTGGTGTTCATGAACCAAAGAATTTTCGAGAAGCCATGGCAGAGGAAGGATGGCGTAAAGCAATGCAGTCTGAGATTCAGGCTCTTGAAGACAATGGTACCTGGGAATTGACATCTTTGCCCCCCGATAAAAAGGCCTTGGGGTGTCACTGGGTATATAAAATCAAATATCGGGCAGATGGGAGCGTGGAACGATTCAAGGCCCGATTAGTGGTTCTCGGCAATCATCAAGTTGAAGGAGTTGATTATAATGAGACCTTTGCTCCGGTGGCTAAAATGGTCACTGTACGTGCCTTTTTAGCGGTTGCTGTAACCAAAAACTGGGAGCTTCATCAGATGGATTTTCATAATGCCTTTCTGCATGGAGATTTGGAGGAGGAGGTTTACATGCGTTGTCCTCCGGGATTCAAGACTTCGTCTCCTAATCAGGTGTGTCGTTTATTAAAATCTTTGTACGGTTTGAAACAAGCACCTCGTTGTTGGTTTGCTAAATTAATTGGGGCTTTGAAGTCTTACGGTTTTCTCCAATCCTATGCTGATTACTCGTTGTTCACTTTTTCTCGTGGAACCACACAACTTAATGTTTTAATCTACGTTGATGACCTGATTATTTCTGGCAATGATACTGCCGCAATCCTCTTGTTCAAAAATTATTTACATGCTTGCTTTCATATGAAAGATCTTGGACCTTTGAAATATTTTTTGGGCATTGAAGTTGCTCGTAGTCCAGAGGGTCTATTCCTTAGTCAGCGCAAATATACCCTGGATATTCTTGCTGAAACTGGCCTGCTTGGGGGAAAGCCCGTGTCTTCACCAATTGAACAAAACCACTGCTTGGCTCGTTCGGAGAGCCCTCTTCTGCGTGATCCGGGTCCTTATCGTCGTTTGCTTGGCCGGCTGATTTACTTGGCAGTTACTCGTCCTGATTTGTCTTATTCAGTTCACATACTCTCTCAATTTATGCATGCTCCGAGGGATGATCACTGGATGGCCGCTCTGAGGATAGTTCGTTATTTGAAAGGAACGCCAGGACAAGGGATTTTACTTCGGTCTGATAGTGTTCTTTCTCTGACTGGTTGGTGTGATTCTGATTGGGCTGCTTGTCCGCTCACCCGCCGGTCCATCTCTGGTTGGATCGTTTTCTTGGGTCATTCTCCTGTTTCCTGGAAAACCAAGAAACAAGTTACAGTTTCTCGTTCATCTGCTGAAGTCGAGTACAGATCGATGGCAGCAGCCACTTGTGAACTAAAGTGGCTGAAGGCTTTGCTTTTAAGTTTGGGTGTTAATCATTCACATGCTATTCCTCTGTTATGTGACAGTCAATCCGCTCTTCATATTGCCCGAAATCCGGTATTCCATGAACGTACAAAGCATATTGAAATGGATTGTCACTTTGTTCGTGATGCTATTCAAGATCGACTTATTGCTCCCTCCTATGTCCCGACTACATTACAGCTTGCTGACATCTTCACTAAAGCTTTGGAGCCTTCTCAATTTCAGTTCTTATTACGCAAGTTGGGCATTTGTAATCTACATGCTCCAACTTGAGGGGGGGTGTTAAATAATAATAGTTATTTATTATATATTGTTTTTAATAAACTTACGGAAGTATAGCTTCCAGGAGGTATTAGGACTTACGTAATGTTTAGTAGTCCTATTAGGACTCTTTCTTTTGCTGTATTATAAACCATGCCGGTGAGATCAATGGAACAACAGTTCAACTTTATTTCTGATTAATTCGGTTTTTACAAACAGTGTTGAAACAGTGTCAAAACAGTAAAATTTACCCCTTGGTAAGTTTATTTCCTTAATATGTGTGTAGGTCAAACCGAGAACATTCCAACGGGACGGAGGGAGTACTTCCTATGTGAAGTGATGGCCAAGCTATGATTTTCGTTCATCTTGGAGGAAAAAATGATATGGTTGGAATGAAATTAGTCTGGCTTAATACAAGAATGAAATGAAACCAGATTTCAAGATTTAACTTTGGGGGATATCACAGTTCATAATAATGTCACTGAATCTGGGGGGTTTATAGCAACGAAAGAAGAGCTATAGGCATTTATTGTAGAGTTGAGTGAAGTCGGGAATTAGTTTGGATAGCACTAATAGCTTCTTCCAAGTATTGGATGTTGAATTGCCAATGCATTTGTTGTCTTGAGCTCCGCAAGAGAAGATTTTGCCAAGAAATGAGCTGTGGTGTGAGAAGGGTGCGACGAGGGGAAAGAGAAGGGTGTGGCCGGGGACCACTTCGAGGGCTCAAATAGGGATGGACTCGGGCCGGGCCAACCGGCCCGGAACCGGACCGGCTCGCTACTGTGCGGGCCCGGACCGGCCTGGTGAACCGGTTGGTTGGCCGGTTCGGGCCAACCGGCCCGGTGGGATCTCGATTCGGGCTTGGGCCCTTCAAAAGGTGAACCGGCCCGGCAGGTTCGGGCTCGAACCGAGCCATTTTTTTTTTAATTTTTTTTAAGTTTTTGGGTTGAGCTGGGTATTTTGGGCCATTTGAGGTGGTTAGGGTTGGTTTGGGGGTGAGGGGGAGGGTTGGGGGTTAACGAGGAAAAGCCAAAAAAAAAAAATAGAACCGAGGCCCGGCCCGGCACCGGGGTTACCCGGGCCGGTTCCGGGCCTCCCATACCTTGAACTGAGGCCCGTCCGGTTCAAGGCCCGAACCGAGTCCATCCCTAGGCTCAAATGGACAAAATCAAGATGTAAATTGAAGAGTGAAGATAGATGAGAGGGTGGGGAAGTGAAACCGAATTGACGTCGAGTTTAACAGAATGATAAGTGAGTGGCCAAATATAGTCCAAATAAGTTGATTATGTGTTAATTTGGTCTACTTAAATGTTTAATGTCAAATATGAACTTCGTAAATAACCTTAGTGTCATTTTTGAGTCTTCTCCCTTTAAAAAATCCTATTAAAAATGACAAAGGAAAGGTAGAATAAGAAGAGTTAATCTTATATTGAAAATTTAAACATGAAAATCCCGTGGCAATTTTGCTTTTATTTAGTTACAAAGGAGTATACCTGTAAAAGTTTAGCTACTCCTCTATGAGACTATCGTGTTTAGGTACAACAACTCCAGTAACAAATTTGAATATCTTAGTAGAACCAACCACCCAGTAAAGACGAGGACAAAAATAAGCCGTTTCCAAAGGAATGAATCGAAAAACGAAAAATGTTTCTTTATTCTTCGGTTTTTGACACCGTTAAACTTTTCTCGGACATGCATTCATATGGATTCGGGTCGGAAACCCATTTTCAGGAAGGAATTTCCAGATTCTTTGAACATTTGGGTCAGAGGCAGAACCCTATTCCCATCAAATAGCAGCACCATGTCAAGATACAAAACACTCAAATTAACTTACAACATTTCATCCATGGGCAAACAAGAACATACAAAAGCAGGAAAATGATAAAATGCAGGAAAAAAAGAGGGTCTTATCGGATACGAAAACCTAATCGCCCGAATCCACCCGACCCGGGAGACCGAACAATCATCAATCCTTGTTCTTCAACTTCTCCGCGCGCTTGTTGAGCTCCTCGATGCGGACGAGGAGATTGGTGACGGAGTAAAGCATCCAGTAGAAGAAGATCGCGGAGGCGATGAGAAGCGCATTCCGCTCGGACTTGATGATCGACTTGTGGAACCGGAGGTGCTCTCCCGGGGAACAAGCTTCCGGCGATTCACAGATGGGCCGGGTCTCGTACTTGTAGTAGATGTCCATTATCAGGAACAGGCCAAAGGGGACGATGGACGATAGCGGCTTCAGCAAACTCTGGGTCACGCTGATGAGGCCTTTCCGGAGCGGGTCAAGACCCGGGAGGGTGAGGAGCAGCACCATGATCGCCTCTGCTCCGGCGACGTAGCCTATCATAACCCACTCCAGAGCCATGGGGTTCGGTGAGGATTTGATGAAGGTCGTTGATTGTTGGGTAGGTCTTAGCTGAATACCTTTGGGATTTGGCTATTTGGATGCCACAGGGCGTCGGTGGGATGTTTATATACCACGGACACTTTACACTTTTGTTGGCCGGTTCTTTTTCAAATTTTGAGTGTCTTATTGGCTAAGCTATTAGTAAAAAAATCCTAAAAATATTTGATATTCTATTTATAAGTGCCCTAGTAGACTTTGTATAATTTAAAATGATGAAGTTGTAGATTTATTGCACACTATTTAAAAAGTAAGATGTTTTTTTACTGTTCCAATGCTGTACTATATACTTTTACTAAAGTTCACTATAGCTGCTTTTGGGATGAATTTATGTCCGAAAATGGAAATGTGAAAATTAATATGATATCGCCTGAAGAGGATACATGACTTTACACAGATTGAGAAAATAAATTTGACTTTACTGTGGATTGCACTGTTTGGCACTATTTGAACACTGTTTGACACTGTTTGACACTGTTTTGCATTGTTTTGTTTCCTACAATGGAATGTTAACTTAAATAAGGTACATCCCCAAAAAGAAAGTGAGAACTTCAATACGGACCGGATGGAGTACTACGCAGTGTCTTCCTACTTATATACGATGTTATTGAGTGTCATATGTGGGGTACTCCCTTAATCCCTTACATACGAACTTTATGTAAATGAAATAATCCGGTTTAACTTGTAAAAATTGTAATTGTAAAACTAATGACAATGCTATGCCATTGTAACAACGTTGTAACCAATGCAGTGTCATTGTAAAGCTAATGTTATTTCATTGTGTAAATACTCAACAAATGATGTAAATATATACTAGTATATGAATAATGTGTATCACCTATTTATACACACAGTTTATGTTTGATGTAAATGTGACACTATATATATATATATATATATATATATATATATATATATATATATATATATATATATATATATATATATATATATATATGAGTGAGTTCTAATACAAAAGGATCTTCTCATGAAAAGTGAGAAGTGATCGATCTAAAACCTTGATCACTCAAAAATGTATGAAATAGATAAAAAATCGTGTTGGGAAATACTAAAGCAAAATATGCAATACATAATAGTAAAAGTGCATATATGATATGTAAAGGTGCACATTTACCTCATTAAAAAAGTTACAAATTGATTTTTACATTGCTTATTGTATCTCATAGTGTGATGCACTTTTATGTTAGTTAAATGCATTTTTTTCTCTATAGTCATGCATATTTATCACTCGATTTTTTGAAAAAATTCTTAATATTTACACTTTTGCTACCACATTTGCACTTTAAATTGATTTGATCCACTTCTTTTTCATTTTCATGGCTAAGATTACTTCTCATTTTTCATATAAGGATTATTTTTGCATTTGAACTTTCCTATATACTCCGTATATTGATTCAAGTGAGAACAAGATTCTAATAACCCCGGTTGCTTCTCTTTAATTTCCGGGTTCTGAAGGCATCCACACTCCTAGGTTGGGCAGAATAGTTAGAGCATGAGCATCCAAACTTCTACTAATTATTAAGGTTCACATCTTAAATGTCTTATAAGACACATGAGTTGAGTGTTTGTTCAGACTCAATTCATACATAATCTACAAAGATGTGAGTGACGTACGTCCTTTAAAATTTGGGAGATTTCCCAAAATAGGAGTAAATGGATTTTGGAATTCTAAAATAGGATCACTATGTTTTTATTCCCGAAATAGGGCTAACATGACAATATTTACTGTCATCTTGTAGGTGTGACTGCCAAATAGTTGCAGTACAGAGCATTTAACATGACAGTACTAATTATAATTAAAGACAATATTTTTCAATTATGGCAGTATTTTTCATATATGGCACTAACAACTCCTATTTCGGGAAGAAAAACATAGTAGTCCTATTTTGAATTTTCAAAACTCATTTGCTCCTATTTTGGGTAATTTCCATTAAAATTTTCATTGGAATATATTATAAACCAAGAATTAGTTTTAAAAAAAATTGGTTCAGGTGAGAAATGTATCAGATGTGAAAAAGGAGAGTGAATTCCAACCGTTAGATTTACGATCTTGCACTAAAACTAGCTTAATTTTTCAGTAGGATTTAAACTTTGAATTGCTGCACAAATTTTTTCATATTGCACTAAAATTTGAAAATGTTGCACCAAATCAGTTTCAAGTTACACTAGACAAATGTAATACGAATTTTTCAGAAGTATTTATGAAGCGCCACCGTGCTTAGTTGCATATTTCAGTGCAACATGAAGTTTTTTATACTATAACATAGTTGAATCCAGCAATTGATATTCATTCTCATTTCTCATCTAAATAATTATTCCTATTGGAACCTCGCCCTACGGCCTACACACACACACACCAGCGTGATGCACAATAAAGTGCGTCAGATCTATTTGATCAAATGAGAACAATGCTTAATATGAGAACATGATAACATCACATTTACTCCAACGTGATGCACAATACGGCTTGTCTATTGCACTTTTTCGCGTTGTTATAATATTTATCAAATTCCACCGTGTTTATTTAATATGGCTGCATTTGAGCAAGTTAAAAATGTGCAACAGAAGAGCTCTGTTGTACACCGGAATACCACATTGATTCAAATGTTAGTGTTCTCACGTTTTATCATTTTCATCGGAACCGCACCCTATATAACTCTTACACACATGAATATATGTATATGTAATATGTTATATATAATCACTTACGTAGTACGTATTATGTTAGCTTAATGTAAATAAATTCAAAGTTTGAAAACCTAAATCTCCATCTTCATTATCACATTATGTTAGGCCTTCTGGCCCTTCCTATCCCCGCAACACGTAGTTTCTTCCCCATAATACATATGAATTATGAACAAAAACAGTTTACAATTAAAAGAAGAACATAAACGCAAATAAGCTAAGATTAATTAATATGCATCCTTTTTTTTGGAAGAATTAATATATGCATCCTTAAAAAAACCAATCATGCAATAACTTTTCTCAAGGTTGCCAATTTAGACCTGATCCACACGTACGGGCGGGTTGCCAGCGGTCGGAGGGACCTGAAACCAGATTTAAGATAAAGGCATAAAGCCCATTAGCCCAAGTTTATGGAAATTATACGGAGAAATGTACGTATTTTGCATCTTCTTCAAGACCGAAATTCAACAAATATATGCAGGTAACAATAGACAAGCCCACAACAAAAAAGTTATTTATGTTAGTTCTGTATTAATTTAGGAATCCATACCCATTGAAAAAAGTAAGTGAAATAAAATAAATTCGGAGCGAAAGGAAATCGTGGGCTTGAACAGATGCAAAAAAGGGAATTTGGAATAACAACTGAATTTTTTGATCTGATTTGGTCTAGTCTAGTTTGATCTAGTATAATATCATCTAGCATGTTCGTGTAAATGTTTGTTTTATTTGTATTTTACGATTTTCTAAGTTAGTAAGTTTGGTTAATTGGTCTGATCTATTTTATTTAAGTCTGTTCTAGATTTGTCCTATTTAAGATTGAAATCAGTCCAATTAATAATAACCTGAAATTGTAGGATAAAAACTAAAAGTGGAGTCTTTTCCTGGAAATTAGAATTTTGTAATTCTTTAAAATAAAGGGTATTTCACTGACCTTAAGAAAAAAGCTAGCAAAGTATTAGGGTAGAAAATATGACCTCTATCCCACTCAATTTTACCAACTTCATATTGAGCGTAGAATCAAAAACGTAAAAAATGTATGATTAAGGTTGGTGTAGAAAAGAGACACATAAACATAAAAGTTGGAGACACATTAAAAGAAAAGTCGCCAAAGTGCATTGCAATGAAAGGAGTATACTCCGTATAAAAATGAATGAGAAAAAGCTAAATGGGTAACAAAGAGAAAATGGGAAAATCTGAAAAGCAATAAAGAGGAGAAAATACAAATACATTAGGTTAAATAAATGTTCCAATTTGGAGACGAGTCAAATAATACTTCTTTTGTCCCTTAAAACTTTGCCAAATTCGACCGGCACGCATATTAATAAAGTAATAATTGTGTGGTTGATGTTTGTGTAGAGGAAAATGATAAAGTTAGTAGGACATCCAAAAAAGGAAAGTTGAACAAAGTTATAAGGTAAGAGAGGGATAGGAGTAGAACATTTTCCAAGAGTGGATATGCGTGGACTACGAGTCTATGAAGAAATAAAATTTTATTTAGGAAACAACAATAAATCTTTACATAAAAAAAAAAATTATTTAGGAGACCTTAAACTATTCACTCACCCTCTGTGGATAATATAAGCCGCCCCCGTTTGGATCAATTTTTGGACCTGCAAATTCAGAGCTTTCGTGTAAAATCATACAGTTCACTAAAACATACGAAGTACATCCCAGCTAAAACAATTTGTATTTTTTCAATGCTCTTCTCGGTCTCCCTACCAGTTGTATATCAAAACACAAACTCAGAGATTAAATTAGAGATGATAATGAGTGGGGACAGTTATGCATACAACCATATCTGCTCACTGGGGAACCAACGGTTATTTCTTATCCCGCAGTTTTTAAAACCGATTTAAGTTTTCTAGTCTCATTCGTATGTTTTAGTTTGATATGATTTGATCTGATCTGTTTAACTTTAATTTGATTTGATCTTATTTGAAATAGTCTATATATGTATGTTTCCTGTCAATCTTATTATCTATTCAAGTTTGATACGATCTTATTTGAAATAGTCTATATAGACTTAATTTAGTCCAATTAAAAATACCTAATACATTGATTGTTTTGTGGAAAAACTTGTTTGTAAAAACCACCTAGAGTTTGTGGCATTGAGCTTCGCTCATTATACTCAACCAAAAAGGTAACATGGAAAAGTTGTATTTTAGTAAATCAACTACAAGTTGAACAGAGGGACCTTATTCAGGAAGATAAACTTGTAAATCCTACCCACCACATTTAGTAAGTAGCAGTCCGACTTGCTTCGGCTTTTCGGTCGGTTTTGGCATGTTTCGGTCTGTTTTAGGCTCTTTTGATCAGTCGTGTCGATTTTTCGATGCTAAATCATCAAATCGTGAACCGGACGGCCTACATTTTGACCGATTTTCATCCGTTTTATAATTTTAATTATAGGTCAGTTCAATTTTCATCGATTTATTAATTAGTTTTGCTCCACTCGTTGGTCATTTTATTTGGTTAATCCTTTTCTGTAGCGTCCTAAAAAAATCACGTACGTAGCTTAATTGTAAGTAGTAATTACCCTTTGGTGATTGTGGTTTATCATTCCTTGTTTTGCGTCTGCACAAACACAGTAATATGAGCAGCAGCAGCAGCACAAATGCGAGTATGCATCCGACGATGATCAATGCTTTCACATGATCACTATGAGATTCTGCCAATCAAAATCAAAACATTATTATTGAAACACTTTGGGGTTTTCTCTAAGTAAGAGTAAAGTATTACAAAACGTCAACGCGTCTTAAAAAAAATACATGACAATGATGCTAAAATAACTTTTTATATAAAGTTTGAGATATTTAAATTAAATATGCAAGTTTGAGGTGCTTATCTCACACCCCATCAAAATTTAGGATATTTTAATTATTTTTCCCATAAATAATATCACACGCATATATAGCTTACCTGTGCTCCAGTTTGTGAACAATGACGTAAATTGCGCCATCCACCCTAATAAACATCTACACGTTAGTTTATATCAATAATACATGTTTAAAAATTGAATATACGTAATAAAAGACAACAGAAAGACTCGAAAATTATGGATTTCCAAACATCTGAAAATTCAAGATTTCTTTTAAAATGGCTTATGAGTCTCAATTTTTTTTTACTACAGGAGTCTGGGGAGGAGCATGGGGGTCTGGAGTAATTAGAGTTGTAACTCACTTCATTGAGTTTCAAACCCTTATGTGCCTACCCGCCCTACCGGGTTTCGAACTCGAGACCTTTCACTAGTCTAATTTTCTTACACAAATTAGATTTTTAATTTCAAGTGCTTAATTATATACCGAATATATAATAATTAAATAAAGTTAAAATAATAATGCCAACTTAACCTTTTCATAATAAATCATAATCATGGGAACACAACCATTTCATATATACTTTTCTGCTTATTTATTTATTAGAATATGTTTTAAATTAAATATGATGTTTTCATAATTCAACAAATCATTTCAGTTTGAATTCTAGTAAATATTAACGTCATCAAATTAATGAATTTTAGAATTCTAGAATAAACTAAATACGTACTACGTGTCGACCTAGTGCTATTTTGTTTAAGATGAAACAATAAATGAAGAGAAAATTCCCTAAATAGAATCAAAACATGAATAAAGTTCATAGTACTATCAATGTTTTATTCCAAAAATAGGACACATTCACTCATATTTTGCAATAAAATAATAATAAGATAGTCCTATTTTAAAATTTTAAGTACTCCTTCCGTCCCATATTTATCTTCACAAGTACAATTGACACACATATTAAGATAGTGAGAAATGTGTGGTGGAGAATTGTGCAGAGGAAAGAGAAACGTGTAAGAATGTTTAAGAATGATTGTTAACCACAAATTCTTTGCTAAAAAGGGAAAGATGAGATAAATTTGGGACAGACTGAAAAGGAATGTATGAATATAATTCAGGGACGGAGGGAGTATATATTTTAGTTTGAGCAATTTTGATCAAAAGTTGAAAGAATAAATTCATTTATAAAACTGATAATCTAATCAAATCTCAGAGTAAAGTACCTTTCCTTGATTGACCAATCATGTACCTAGCATAACATTTGCCCAAGAACATCTCGCCGGAAACCGCCGCACTGCACGTTGTTCTCAGCTGTTGGATCGCCTCCCCCAAACAATCCTCACACATTTCCACGCTCAGATCACCCACGCACTGCGACATCCCAATCGCCTCATAATCCGCATTCAACTTACTCACCCCGGCGGGCCCACTCAGGCCCTTCAGAACAGCATCGACGGTGTTCGCCACCGCCGCGTCGGGCCTTCCGCATTCCCTAAGGGCCACCGTCTTGTTTTGCACGCCGATGAAGTTAACGGCGTCGTACATGGCAAGACACCCGACCACCTGTAGGACCCCTCCGGTCATCTGGGGGCAGATTCCAGCGAACTGTTTCACAACGCCGGACACGCAAGTGGCGCAGTCCGGCAGTGATAAATCGCCGCGGCATTGGTAGAGGCCGTAGGCGGTGGCACCAGCCCCTGGGGCGCCGCCGTTGACGGGCCCCGCCGCGGTGAAGTTGTTGTAGGACGAGATGGCGGCTGAGTTGACTAGGGAAGCGAAGAGTGAGTTGAGGTTCGACTCGAAGGGCGAGCCGGCGGTGTACTTGGCCGGATTACATGTGCTGTATACCCTAGACAGCAGATCATTGGCGGAGGAGTCGGACTGCGAGAGAAGAGATGATGGAGAAAAGATAAGAATGATGGAGATTATTAAAAATGCAAGAAAATAATAAGAGCTCAATAATCTGGCCATGTATATATTTTATGTAAATAAAATTCTAGATCGTGATATTTGGTAGATGTGGTTTAATTTTCTGCGAATGATTTCTTCTATATATATGTTTATATCTCTACGCACCTATGATCATGAATAACTTTTGTTGAATTAGTAGGAATATATATATATATATATATATATATATATATATATATATATATATATATATATATATATATATATATATATATATATATATATATATATATATATATATATATATATAAATAGGTTTCTTAATATAAGAATTAAATAAAAAGGATGCTTGTGCATTAGATTTAATAGGGAGTATTTAATAGTTATAAAACAATAAGATTTAAAAAATGAAAAATGTGTTAACATTTTCGTAATCAAGAGACCTTTTCTGTCATCTTGAAAATGTAATATTTGAATATAAAAATTTAATTCATAGAATAAATAATGAGATCTCTTCATTTGTCGCGTTAAAATACACTATGCTCGATCCTCGAAGATTTATTATTATAAAAATGTGTGTTGAGAAGATAACTTGATGCACCCATAAGAGCTATATTACATTATTTTATAAAGTAAAGAAGCTAACTTCAAGAGATCCGTTATTTAATTTGTTTTCTCTTATTATATTATAGAATAACAATAAAAATTAATTTGTAAAATTAATAACAATAACCATTCTTTTCTAGTCTAGCTAATATAAGGCTCATGAACTGTTAATTAATGAAGTCTTATTCTTTTAATAAGAAGAAATAAGTCCTATTTAGGGATCGAAATTATAAACATATAGTTTTATTTATGCACTTTGATTAACTTTTAATCTTATTTAGAGCAATTAGTATAATAATTATTTTTCCCTACTTTTATTACTGTGGAAAAAGAGAAAATCTTATAGGGAAAATTTCTGAAATATGGATAAAACAGTTTGAAAATTTCAAAATAGGACTGTCATGTTTTTATTCCCAAAATACGAGTAATTACAGGCAAATTCAGAAAATACTGCTATGTTTAAACTCAGGTAATGCCAAAACATGGCAATACCGATTTATACTTTGGAAATAAAAATATGATAGTCCTGTTTTGGAATATACAAATGTTTTAGTCCTATTTAGATAATTTGCCTATTGATGATAATATCATCAATGTTTGTCGTACTAAAATTTACTTATATTCACTTTCAAACTTTAGCTCTTTATCATTTTGGTCATGTTAGACATTCAACGGTTAGCGGATAGCGGGTTATGTTAGCGGGTTGTCAATAGCGGATTCAGTCAGCGGGTTTGACTAGCAGATTAAATTGGCTGGTTGTTAGAATATTTTTGGTAATTTAGCTGTTTGGCCATAAAATTAGTAGAAAACGCCATTTTTTAAAACGTCAACCCAAAACTCTCCTATTAATTGCGTTTTCATTTCAGCGTTTTCGTCCAAAACGCTAGTGCCGAACTGCTACTTACCTAACAGGTTTTTCACTTATTGAAAACGCTGAAAGTGTTCACCATTTTTCGATTGAAACGCCGTTTACCAAACATCCCCTTTATCTTTTTACTTATAGTAGTAAGTAGACCGTTAACTTTTTCCTTACTTTTTAAGATTACAATTGTAAATGCATTGTTTTTTTTATCGTATAAATATGCATCGTTGAACTTCTCAAAACTCATGTCAAATCTACAAATGTCATATATTTTGAGAAGTTCAAAGTACTACTTATTACTACTCCCTCCGTCCCGCTAGAAGGTTCCCACTTTCCTTTTTTGGACGTCCCGTTAGAAGGTTCTCATTTCCATTTTAGGAAACAGTTAACAATCTTAAGTGACAAATTAATCATTAAATATAAAAATAATACATTTATAACATCAAAATTATCAATACTAACTACATTATAATATATACCTATTAAAATTATTTCTCAAAATATATTTGAAGTACTTTATATAATTTTTGTCTAAATAACCGTGCCATTTTCAACGGGACGGAGGGAGTACTACTTATTACTACCCCTATCCTAATTTGATGGTAACAGTTCTTACTTACATGGTCAATACAAATCACTTTTTATCTATTACTTTATATATAAAAAATTTTCAAATTTGATTCAGATGTTTGCGACTTTGTAAAGCTTTTATTGTAGTTTCTGAATATGTATTTTTTCTAAAAATAATTTTAATGCGGATAGGGATCTGTTTGCTTTATCGTCAGTCAAACATCGTAAACTGCAATGATATCATTAAATTGGGACGGAGGGAGTACTCCCTATTTATTATTTTTTGAGATTTGAGAATTCTTCATTTTGTATCAACTCTTGACTTACTCTTACACATTTTGGATTGTACTTTGTACCTTTTTTATGTTTTCTCCATATCTCTCATATTATTTACCTAAACTCAACAATTACTTTCTTCTTAATCTCTCTAAAATTCTATAGAAGCAATAAAAAACTAATTAATGTAGGGACTGTTGTATTTAATCCCAAGAGAGCAGGAATCGTGTAATGAGCTAGCTAGTAACATTTAATTACGGATTATAACATATATTTTTTCATCTTAGTTACATCTATATTAATTATGTTAAAGTTCTTGATTATTTAATTTATTACGTCATCATGTATGATACTCCATAATTATATTTCTTATCATTCTTATTATAATTTATATTACACGAACACATCAAATACATTTCAGTAGTAATTAAAATAAACATTATAAACTAAAAAAGTAACCTTTTCAAACATAAAGTAACTTAAACTCTCACCATTTATTTTACTTTACCCAAGTGTAAGGTAAATTTGATACCAAAAATGATTTTGTACCTTATGTGTCACTAACCTTAAAGATTCTTCATCATATATTCATATGAAAGTATGCTTAAAATTAATTAAATCTAATCTATAATCTAAAACAAATACATGAAAATAATACTCCCTCCGTCCCAATTTGATTCGCAAAATTTCCTATTTTGGTTGTCTCAAAATGATTTTCCACTTTCTATTTTAGGTATGTAAATAAGAATAAAGTGACAAATGTACCCTTACTTTTACTTTTTCCCATTAACTTAAAGACTTCTACTTTTAAGAAGATGGGCAAAAGTGTAAAAATCAAACATCATTTATTGTCATTTCTTAATCCTTGTGCCGGTCAAAGTTTGCAATTCAATTCGGAATGGAGGGAGTACATTTTTTACTATTCACCAGGTCATTCTTATGCATTTTTTAGTCTTCTCCATCGACCTTTACTGTTTATTCGTAAATCAGCCTCCACCTCCATGCTCGAATCACTGTCCATACTCCAGAGCTGCAAACGACTTGGAGCACCCTCATGACAGAATAAAAAAGATTCACTGACATCTATCTATATACAAAGCAGATCAGATTGGAAAGTTTAGCAATTTTCCCGCTCAAAAATGTCACTATAATAGTCAAAATTCAGTTCAATCCAAATTGATGGTCTTTTCTACTGAAAGTTAATACAAGGTAGAGCAACAAGATATTAATCAATGAGTTGTCCTTTAATTTTAAAATGTTGTTGGGTTAATCTATAGGAAATAGTCCAATTAGGATCGAGTATAAAATACTCTGTATATCACTAAATGGGGTAGTTGTGTTACGTTGGGTGGGTTATTAGGTTAAAAGGTCTGATATTTTGGGCAGCAAATATCAGAAAAAAGTATTTGATGCGGTTCAGAATCGCAGCAAATAGTCATTTATTAAAAATGAGTTTTAACTTATTGAACCGCAACAAATAGGTAGCAGCAAAAAATGCGTTTTGACTTATTGCTGCGGTTCTGAACCGCAACAAATAACTATTACTTTCGCAACAAAAAATTCTCTAAAACATTCTTATTTGGTGCATTTTTTCTTTCGATACTACTCAAATTTATAAATCTGATTTTTTCTGAATTGTATCTTATTTACAAAATAAGAAACAATTGAATTCGACAACCTAGTATCTCATCGATCAAAACCATAATTCCAAAATCAATTAAGTTATACATCACCAAAATCAATAATGAATACAATACAAGTTACATCTTTTGTAAGTTTATCGACACTAAAAATTTACAATAAATTATCACACCCTCATGAACAACGCATTGCGAACTTTGAATACTTCATCACTTGAAAATGGCTCATCTGGTTTGATGTCCTGATAAAACTAAAATATTAAACATTTACAATTAGTATACATGTATACCATTCAAGAATGTCTTGTTAGTCTAGTGATGGAGTATATGGCCCGGGAACCCCCGGCCCACAGACTCCTACTACTCCAGTAAAGGCCCAACAGGCCCAGAAGGTCCAACAGGCCCAAATCACATCGCCCAGAGTACCAAGCAGCCCGCACTACGCGTCAGGGGTGCCTTCGGCCCCCTGGCCGAAGGCTCTAAACTCTCACAGAACGGGTTTCTCAAGCAAACTAAGAAACTAGGAGAAAACGGCAAAAACAGAAGCCCTCGGCACTAGGGTGCCATCGGTTTGAGGAGCCATCGGCTGCTGCTCTATAGCCGAAGGCACCTCTCCCGACATGATATCCGCCCCACATGCGTACAGATCACCGTACCCTGTACAGACGTCCCGTCCAACAGCCGCATTAAATGCGGCCACCGTACACGTGTCCCTGTCCGGCATTTATTGCTACTATAAATAGCACCCCATTTCCCCATTTGTAACCGCGACATTCATACTGAATACACTCTCTCTCTTACTTACTCGTGCTCTGACTTCTCTCTAAGTTATTCCCAGCAATAACCCCTCGGATATATACCCCCGGGTAGACTATCCATCATTTGGTGCTCTCGTTGAGAGGTCGAACGATCAAGTAAGAAACCCTCCCCCTTCACCAAACACTAGCCCTCTACCAAAATGGTGAGAACAACACGTGTCAACTCCAAAAACGTAGAAGACAAGAACCTGGCCCTCGGCGACGTCAACGCCCCCGAAGCCTCTCACAGGGCTCCCGAGGGCGGTGTCATCGCTGGGCTGGAACAGGCGGCTGTCGACCTGCGCCTTCAGATCCAACAAAATGCCCCCGATGCCCGCCTCGGCATTGAGGCCAAAAAGAAAAACCGAAGCGATGACCAAGTCAGCCCTCTGGTTCTCACCATCGACGT